TTAGTAGAGACGGGGTTTCACCATGTTGACCAGGATGGTCTCGATCTCTTGACCTTGTGATCCACCCGCCTCGGCCTCCCAAAGTGCTGGGATTACAGGCTTGAGCCACTGCGCCCGGCTTGAACTCCTTAAGTGATCCTCCCACCTCAGCCTCTCAAAGCACTGGGATTCCTGGGATTAGCCATAGCACCCAGCCACTATTATCTTAACACATATATGAAAATATTGTATAACGAGTACATTTTCCTACACAAATAGGATACTATCCAAACTGTACTCTTTTGGCAATATATCTTGGCACTTTTCCTTCTCAGTTCACAAGTAGACATATCTTTGTTCTTTTTAACAGCTTCTCAGGCCGAAGAAGGTGGCTCATGCCTATAATCCCAGCACTTTGGGAGGCCTATGTGGGAAGATCACTTGAGCTCAGGAAATCAAAACCAGCTAATACAAATAATGCTGCAGTCACCATCCCTGTGCCTTCTTTATGCATGTAAATACAGCTGAATATGCCACCTCCCACTGGATTAGCATAGACTATTTCAACGCATACTGTTCCCATCATCTCTACATACAGCTTTCTCCCCCTCTTTCTAGAGGCAAAGAAAGCAAGCCTTCTAACAACAAAAAAAAAAATCAGAAACAAACTAGACCAGGTGCAGTGGCTCAAGCCTGTAATCCCAGCACTTTGGGAAGCCAAGGTGTTCAGATCAGCTAAGGTCAGGAGTTTGAGACCAGCCTGGCAAGCATATAGTGAAACTTGATCTCTACTAAAAAATACAAAAATTAGTGCTCGCTTCGGCAGCACGTATAGTAAAATTGGAACAATACAGAGAAGATTAGCAGGGCCCCCACACAAGGATGACATGCAAATTCGTGAAGCATTCCATATTTAAAAAAAGAAAAAAATATACAAAAATTAGCTGGGCATGGTGGTGCGCACCTGTAGTTCCAGCTACTTCGGAAGCTGAGGCAGGAGAATCGCTTGAGGCCGGGCGTGGTGGCTCACACCTGTAATCCAAGCACTTTGAAGGCCAAGGTGGGTGGATCACCTAAGGTCGGGAGTTCAAGATCAGCCTGACCAACATGGTGAAACCTCGTCTTAAATAAATAAATAAATAAATAAGAATCGCTTGAACCCAAGAGGCAGAGGCTGCTGTCAGCCGAGATCATGCCACTGCACTCCAGCCTGCGTGACAGAGCAAGACTGTCTCTAAAAAGAAAAGAACAAGCTAAAGCAACTAAAGAGTCTGAATTAAAGATCAAAGAAGGCAGTACATAGTTTCTTTAAACATGCAGTTCAGCTACTTCAAGAAAACAAAAAATGCATATTAGAGCACTGCATACACAACTACATATCTAGACGGCAAAGCATGA